GAAACGTCATGTGTGATTACATGCATTCGTGCTTTTTGTTGCACGGTGCGCCGATGGCTGATGAGGCCATGCGTCAGCAGAGTGTTTTGGTTGGTAGTAGGTTTTGCTTTCTACTAGCACCGTCTGCTATGGAAGCAAAGGAGGGCCCGACCAATCACTTGATATAAGCGGAGGAGGAACAATTATTTCATGCTGCAGTGCCGGGGCCGGTTTCTCTGGCTCGATCCATTTTTTGCAAGAAATCCTGTCGTGTCATGACTGCCCACCCATGTGCTCTCAGTGTGGCCACTGCCTCCAAGAAGTTGTGTGTGGCCAGGCGCTTCATAGTTCTTGCCTGGGCGTCGTGGGGTCGGGTTTGTCTACGACAGAGTCTTTGCAATTTCGCCCCACTCGCAGAGGCGCAAAGCCTTGGAAGCTCTTCGCGCAATTTTTTTGAACAAAACTGTGGTCCTCTACGCCCTGTGCTTATAGGGTCTTATACGCATCCATGACCAAGGTGTTGAGGCCAATGGACTTCAGGTATTCCTGGCCCGAATCACTTCGCACGACCCGCAGCAGGCTGTCTTCTTCGATCCAGGCCCCGACACTCTTGTCCTGCAGATGGTACAGCAAGTCGTGCCAACCCTTGGAGTCCCCGTACTTGTTGCAGTTCTCTGAACCGCCGTACCGCTGCAAGTCGTCTGCCCGCTTGCGTTTGCGGGTGAACAGCTTCTGCCGGAGGTTGAAGAACAAGGTGTTGGCTCTGAGACGCAATGGAATCCCATCGTTGACCGCCACCTTGGACAGGCACTGCGGGGAGGGGTGCGCATGGACAGGCACTGGCACTACAGGTTCTAACAATGGCTGCAACGGCTATTTTTGCCTAACTTGCCTTCCAGGGTTCACCAACAGATTTGTCTGTGTGCTCAAAGGTGAAGGCCCCTTCCAAGAGCCGCAAGGTGGCTTGGTCAATACTGGGAAGCTTCAAATAGAAGTCCGTAGGGGCAAAGAAGTCGTCAAGAGCTGTAGTTGGTGTGGTCTTCATATGCTTGGCGGCTTCAACTGCGATCATCCTCTCTAAGTACAGTTGGTTGACCGAATACAACTCCATTCGAGGCACCGCAGCGACTGCATCAAGTAACCGGATGCAAGCATCGAAGGGCACGGTGTCAAGCCAATCAACAGGGAGAGAGTCCTGGAAGGCAAAAGCCAGCAAGCCATTCCTGATGGCAAGGTTACTCAAAGCGATGCTCCCGTAGAACCTACCCGCGTGCTTCCGCACGCACGCTGAGCCGACAGCCCCTGCCGACTTATTGCACGCTCGGCCACTGCCTTCACAGATGCCGGCCAGAATGCTTCCAGCCGCTGGGGACCATACCACTTCCTGAGAAGGCGCAGCGAGGTTTGCACACGCGTGCACATGTGCATGGGTTGAAAACACCTGGTTTTAAAAATCCACAAGCAACCAGGTCCTTGATTGTCGGTGTCGTCTGGGGCAATTGCTTGGTTGGCACTCCACGTGTGCGAAGCCGTGGTCGACGCACCTGACCCTGCCGTCGTCGCCCCACCCTCACGGCGGGAGTGCCTGCAGGCTGGGCCGGCCCTGGAGCGGGCGGCGCGGCTGGCGCTGCGGGGGCTGGGTCTGCACAGGGACGATGTTGGAGTTTGTAGATGCCCCCCAGAACCTCCGTCAAAAGTCCTTCGCTTGCTTTTTTGGGATAAAAGCTTTCCTCAAACAGCCGCTCACGCACGGCCTCCCCATCAAAGGTGTGTACACCTAGGCGGGTGCGGCCGTTGCTACACGAGCCCATTTGCTTCACATAGGTTTCCTGCTGGCAGCCGAGCCACACACAGGCATGCGCTGACACGCAAGTCTCTGCTTGAGCTGTCCCTTTTCCACAGGCTTCAGTTCCGTCTAACAATTCGATCAAGTCTTCCTCTTGCAAATATTGAGTCTTCGAAGCGCAAATCACTTTTTCGAGCTCCCCATTCACAATCTGAATCTGACCTCTTGTTTGGGGCAGCTTCTTCAAGATGCCATGGACAGTAATGTGGCCCTGCCTCCACACGAATGTGGCAGAAGGTGCGTGGGGCTGGTTGCGGGACAGCCAAGAGAGCACAATGGACTTCAAGTTGTCTTTCCCGTCTGCGCTCGCACCAATCAAGACCTGCGACAACCTCGAACCAACGACATTCCAGTCACTATCTGTGCCGGGCACAGCTGTGACTTTGAGCGCGTTGCTCTTCTGCCCACAAAACCCAAAGGCGGCCTGTGATTGAAAAGCGGCGTGAACTATGTGCCCATCTGGTGGGCACCCACCACCCTGCGCTACCCGGCGGCACGCTTCAGCCACCTCATGCGGAGCCACAGCTTGCAACGGCGTCTTTTTTTGAGCTGCCACAGGGTTGAGGGGCATGTCTTTGTTCAAGGTGTCCGTGTAGAAAGATTCGATCAGAGTAGCGAAGTGGTCCTTCAAGGTTACGTCTTTCGGCATCTTGTGAAGATTGTACTCTGAGCCCACCGCATTCTCGTCGTAGACGTGCCTTGACCACCTGGCAGAGTTGAGGCTCGTAAAAAGAAGGTTGTTCGGCT